ATTCCATTTTGCATATCACTTTTTGATAAATTAAATCAAACTTAAGAAAAACACTCCATTTTAAAATATTTAAGAATATCTTATTCCGGTGATTGTGGATAACAAATCAAATTCATGAAGGGATATGGTTTGATTCACTGAATATACAAATGAATCACAAGTGCCTAGATCTCATGGCTTTGATCAGTAATTGAGTTATGTCGTGGCGTGTCAGCTAGATGTCATAGCATGTCAGCTAGATGTCATGGCGTGTCAGCTAGATGTCAAGGCGTGTCAGCTAGATGTCATAGCATGTCAGCTAGATGTCATGGCGTGTCAGCTGGATGTCATGGCATGTCAGCTGGATGTCATGGCATGTCAGCTGGATGTCATGGCATGTCAGCTGGATGTCATGGCATGTCAGCTAGATGTCATGGCATGTCAGCTAGATTTCATGGCGTGTCAGCTAGATGTCATGGCGTGTCAGCTAGATGTCATGGCGTGTCAGCTAGATGTCATGGCGTGTCAGCTGGATGTCATGGCATGTCAGCTAGATGTCATGGTGTGTCAGCTGGATGTCATGGCAGGTCAGCTAGATGTCATGGTGTGTCAGCTAGATGTCATGGCAGGTCAGTTAGATGGCATGGCGTGTCAGCTAGATGTCTTGGCGTGTCAGGTTGGAAAGGAAGGAAAGCCTGAAGTGAGGCAGGTCGCACATGTTACTTCTTTGGGGAAACCCATTAGTACAGGAATCGTGCTGACAAAGCAAGAAACATAATTTGAGCAAACCAGAAATCAAACAGCCATAGGTGGCAGACAAAATGGAGGCCTTGTGCCATTAGTGGCAGCAGTCTGATCAGGAAGAATAAACATTCTAAAAGAAAGGTGAACTTGTCCTGCAAAAACATAAGTTTCATTGCAATCATATGTAACATCTGATTTTGTTCTCCAAATATTATCTGGTAGTTCAAGAAATTCCAGTGCCCAACCCCACTTGAATATCAAATGACCTTTAGGCATTAAATAGGTTGTTGAATAGAAGATCACTGTGACTCTTCTTTCCTGAATTCGACCACTGCAATCCTGTGGTGCTGTTTGATTGGTGTAGTTAGTGAGGCTGGTGAACAGTTTGTAGATAACTGGTCAATGAAGGATGCCCTCCCATCTCAGCTACACGTCTGATATCGTCATTACTGTCTGTCAGAAGTGTCAGGTCAGCTTTGTGCTGGATTAGGAGGTCAACCACATCTTTATGTCCGCAGAAGGCAGCCTTCAATACAGGTGTGTATCCAAGTCTCCCTCTACTGTTGATGTTAGAGGGAGACAGGAGGTGTTGTACTATAGCAGTGTTCCCACCCTGACAGGCAAGATGAAGTAAACTATCACCAGATGTAGCCACCAGTGTCAGGTCAGCATGGTTGGACACAAGGAGGTCAAACACACTTTGATGTCCACTGACAGCTGCCACCATTGCTGGTGTCCATCCATGTCTCCCTCTACTGTTGATGTTAGAGGGAGACAGGAGGTGTTGTACTATAGCAGTGTTCCCACCATGACAGGCAAGATGAAGTAAACTATTACCAGATGCATCCACCAGTGTCAGGTCAGCTTGGTTGGACACAAGGAGGTCAAACACACTTTGATGTCCACTGACAGCTGCCACCATTGCTGGTGTTCCGCCATACTCACCTCTACTGTTGATGTTAGAAGGAGACAGGAGGTGTTGTACTATAGCAGTGTTCCCACCCTGACAGGCAAGATGAAGTAAACTATCACCAGATGTAGCCACCAGTGTCAGGTCAGCTTGGTTGGACACAAGGAGGTCAAACACACTTTGATGTCCACTGACAGCTGCCACCATTGCTGGTGTCCAGCCATGTTTCCCTCTACTGTTGATGTTAGAAGGAGACAGGAGGTGTTGTACTATAGCAGTGTTCCCACCCTGACAGGCAAGATGAAGTAAACTATCACCAGATGTAGCCACCAGTGTCAGGTCAGCTTGGTTGGACACAAGGAGGTCAAACACACTTTGATGTCCACTGACAGCAGCCATCATTGCTGGAGTCCATCCATGTTTCCCTCTACTGTTGATGTTAGAGGGAGACAGGAGGTGTTGTACTATAGCAGTGTTCCCACCCCGACAGGCAAGATGAAGTAAACTATCACCAGATGTAGCCACCAGTGTCAGGTCAGCTTGGTTGGACACAAGGAGGTCAAACACACTTTGATGTCCACTGACAGCCGCCACCATTGCTGGTGTTCCGCCATACTCACCTCTACTGTTGATGTTAGGAGACAGGAGGTGTTGTACTATAGCAGTGTTCCCACCACGACAGGCAAGATGAAGTAAACTATCACCAGATGTAGCCACCAGTGTCAGGTCAGCTTGGTTGGACAAAAGGAGGTCAAACACACTTTGATGTCCACTGACAGCAGCCACCATTGCCGGAGTCCATCCATGTCTCCCTCTACTGTTGATGTTAGAGGGAGACAGGAGGTGTTGTACTATAGCAGTGTTCCCACCACGACAGGCAAGATGAAGTAAACTATCACCAGATGTAGCTACCAGTGTCAGGTCAGCTTGGTTGGACAAAAGGAGGTCAAACACACTTTGATGTCCATTGATAGCTGCCACCATTGCTGGTGTCCAGCCACACTCACCTCTACTGTTGATGTTAGAAGGAGACAGGAGGTGTTGTACTATAGCGGTGTTCCCACCATGACAGGCAAGATGAAGTAAACTATTACCATATGCATCCACCAGTGTCAGGTCAGCTTGGTTGGACACAAGGAGGTCAAACACACTTTGATGTCCACTGACAGCTGCCACCATTGCTGGTGTCCAGCCACACTCACCTCTACTGTTGATGTTAGAAGGAGACAGGAGGTGTTGTACTATAGCGGTGTTCCCACCATGACAGGCAAGATGAAGTAAACTATCACCAGATGTAGCCACCAGTGTCAGGTCAGCTTGGTTGGACACAAGGAGGTCAAACACACTTTGATGTCCATTGACAGCTGAATGCATTGCTGGTGTCCACCCATGGATCCCTCTACTGTTGATGTTAGGAGACAGGAGGTGTTGTACTATAACAGTGTTCCCACCACGACAGGCAAGATGAAGTAAACTATCACCATATGTATCCACCAGTGTCAGGTCAGCTTGGTTGGACACAAGGAGGTCAAACACACTTTGATGTCCATTGATAGCTGCCTTCATCACTGGCGTCCATCCATGTCTCCCTCTACTGTTGATGTTAGAGGGAGAAAGGAGGTGTTGTACTATAGCAGTGTTCCCACCCTGACAGGCAAAATGAAGTAAACTATTACCAGATGTATCCACCAGTGTCAGGTCAGCTTGCTTGGACACAAGGAGGTGAAATACACTTTGATGTCCACTGACAGCCGCCACCATTGCTGGTGTCCAGCCATACTGACCTCTACTGTTGATGTTAGAAGGAGACAGGAGATGTTTCACGACAGCCTTGATGCCACCACGACAGGCAAGATGAATAATTCCATTGCAATATTTATCTTTGACATTCAAGTTTGATATTTTCCGTAGTAACTCAAAACAATCTTCTGATGCTGAAAGGGCTGCAACCATGACAGGCGTTTGGCCATTCACATCAACAGAGTTTATAACATTATCTCCAGGCTTCCTATTTAACAGGATTTTCAGGGATTTTTTCATTCCTGTCTTGCAAACCAGATGGAAGATGTTTTGTAACTTCTTGTCTCTAGTGTTAACATCAGCACCTTCCTGGTGCAGATACACTAGAATATCGGAGCTGCCATTTTCAGCAGCTTGCAACAAAAGTCTGTTCAGTGTCAATTGATGATCATGTTTTTCGGAGCGAGTGAAGAGCCATTTCAATACTGTCACATTGTTGCTTTGTGCACACCCTTCCATAGCTTGACTGATCTCCTCTTGAGAGAACTCTTCTCCAGTTGTGTGTTCTATATCTGTAACTAGATGTGCATTATGTCCAAGAACTGCCCAGTACAGAAAACATTTTCCTTTCTCTCTCCTGTGAAACCAAAGTTCATCTTTAGAGTCAGTTTGATTATGCGGATGGTGGTGCTTTGTCCCATCACACTGAAGTTTGTTCAGCAGTTTGAAAGCTGTTGTGTCTCGTTTGAGAACAGGATGTGTCACTGATTGAGAAAACTTTCCTTGTTTAATAGAATGTGCAAACCTTGTGGTAAGTAGGTCATCATAATTATCTGAGACATATATCAGATGGAGATGGTCATCAACTGTTGTTTCTTCAACTTTTTCACCTTGTACTCTTTCAAACAGAAAGTCATCACTACAGTTCTTCAAAACAAAGTCTGGACTGGTATTGAACATAGCACAGGCACAAGCATCATAGATTGAAGAATGGGCAAAGCCAATAGTGTCTCCTCTTGTGAAGAATATACCTCTAAAACTTTTAGCGGCTTTGTACATGCCTGAACGTGTAGCATTTGGCATCAGGTCTTGAACAGTTTTGACCATCCTGTCCATTTCCTTGTCTTCATCTCCACTGTCTAACCTGGTCAGGTTCAATTTGTCTTCACACAGCAGCATCAGAACCAAAATGGCCGATCTATCATTTCTGTCTTCAAGTAACTGCTTCAGTTCTAACCTAAGATAAGACAGTGGTTCCTTGAAAAACGATTTTTCATTTTTAAAGAAAGAGGAAAATTCAAAACAAAGTTTACAAATGAGAGGAAATCCAAAGATGTTAGAAGAGATTTCCAGCTCATTGTAATCTGGAATATGTTGCACAGAGTAGTCACCAAAAGCATGCTTATGTCGTTCAAATATTGATTTCTTCTCTTTGTCAGAAAGCCTGTATTTTTCTTGTTTTGTTAAGTCCACTACTGTTTGACCCTTGAACAATTTGAAACCCTCATACTGCAGTTTTGCAAGTCCATCATGGAAATTGTAAGATTTTGATGTGAAGACAACATGAATGTCCTTTGTTTGAGATTCTGTTAAACTTTGCACTTTGTTTCTGAATTTTTCACCAGCATCACAGTTTTCCCTCAATTCTGACCGTTTCTCTTCTGCTCTCTGCTTTTGTTCTAAAAAAGTTTTTAACCTGTGAAGTATTAGCAGAAACTCCAACTGTACCAAACAAATCGTCTACAATCAGAAATACTCTTGAGTTAGTACTTAGACATCGGTCAAAGTCAAACTTCTTAAGGCTGTCCACAAACACGACTTCGTACCCCTTTTGTCTATACTGTGAACCCAGCACCAGAGCCATTGTTGTCTTGCCCTCTCCTGAAGCACCACAGATAGTCACATGACCAAATTCCTTCAATTTCTGTTTGACTTTTCTGTAGGCTTCAGTTGGAGCAAAAATCTTCCTTGCTTCATCTGTGCGCAAATCAAGGGTATCTGTGAAGGGGAAAAAAGTTTTTACCATCCCAGCAAAGACCTTCGGTGTAAACATAAAATGACAAAGTATTCACGTATTTCTATTGTGTGTGGAACATCCCTTAGTTGTTATAAGTCTCATCCAAAGAAAGTGATATTTCAACTCCACATTTAAGACTACTTTGAACTGAACACAAAACACCAACATGCTTATTCACTGACAAAAGCTTGTGGTATCAGTTGTGAAAGCACAGCAAAATTGACACAGGGTGTGTACTAGTTGTTTTATATACAGATACATCATCCAAGATTCATTAGTTTTGCAAGATATGTCAATACATCAGGAGTTTATATACGATGTATTCTTCTATCAAACATTTCAATCCATGAGGGTGACAGGTAGGACCAGGGAAACATGTTGGTATGCACAGATTCTGTCCCTGAGAAACTGAGAATGGTAACAGTCTTGAAGAAGATCTAGTCACTTACTGACCCTTCCTCCATCAACACTCACCTCTCCCCAGTGTTCCTTGTCCTGCCCCTCCAGTGACGATGTTGATCATGTTGGCAGCTTGGGCGTTCCCTGAACGCTGTTCACCTGTCAACACCAAACAGGAGGAATCATCAGTAACCATCGTAACCAAAACCTGAATTAATCAGGTGTTTTCTTTCCACAATGAATAACATTTCATATTACTGCAGGGCGAAAAGTTGGGTTTCTATCATTCTGAAGACGTTCACGTATTTCATGATAATAAAACTTATCCTGTCATATACAATCCCTGATGAATTAAACATATTCATCAGGAATCATGAGATTCAACAAACTGTCTGACGCTCTGTCAGCTCCTCAACAGACTGACACAGAGTGAAGCAGATCAAGTTGATTCATACACTGTATTCAGGAAGCAAACAAGTATTGTTCAAAATAGACACCTTCTCTCCTCATAATAATACCCATGATGAACTGAAATGTCGTTTGACTGACAGACTGACATAATTCTTGGATATTATCAAGATCGGGGTACAGCCGTGAAGATCCTGGTTAGAATTGGTCTTCCAAAACCCATACTTGTCGTAAGAGGCGACTAACCAGTAGTGGATATAACATGTACACGAGACGGTCCCCCATTACACGTACAAGTGACTACCTGAGAGTGTGTAGTGTTTCTGCTTTCCCGAAAAACCTGTTTATTCACGACTGTCAAGTCACCACCACGCTTGGGGATTTTACGGACACTTTAATCATCCTGCATCGTGTTTGCATGGTGATTGAATCAAGCGCTTCAGTTTGTACCGCAGACTGCACCCATCTCACGTACAAGAGATCATAGTCCATCTCGCGTACACGTTACGTCTCTGAGTGCTACCAGGATCGGGTGGTCATGCTTACTGACTTGGTTGACACATGTCATTGTATCCCAGTTGTGTAGATTGATATTCATGCTGTTGATCACTGGATTGTCTTGTCCAAACTATTCACAAACCACTGCCAAATAGCTGGAATATTGCTGTGTGTGCCATTAAACAACACAAACACAAATCCTCATGCTAAAACAGGCTGTGAACATCCTGTGAACATTTCAGAGCAATGTGTCTTTCAGTTCTGAAAAAGGTGTGAGCCTTAAAAGTTGTATTCTCCACTAAATGGAGGTGACAAAACATCCATCTGCTAAAGACTGCCTCCATGGTGTAGTGGTTAGAGCATCCGCCCGGAGAGCGGAAGTTCATGGGTTCGATCCCCAACCGCGTCATACCAAAAGACATTGAAATATTCTCAAGTACGACGTTAAACCCAATTTCACCTCACTCCACCTCCATCTGCTAGAGGCTAGAACAGTCGCTATACAATTCTGACTGCTCATGAATCAGTGTCAAATAGTGATTATACCAGGTGGTCACGAAAAGGTGGGCGTATCCTGCTTCATCAGTTTCACATGGCATAAATACATGCAAAGGGGGACAGTTCACAGTACAAAGAGAAGACAGGTGGAAAAGTACAACAATGACGAACTGAGTGAAATTTGACTGATGTAAAATATTTGAATTGGAATATTAGAAAGAATGAACAGGACACCTTAGTTTGTTTTATTTCATATAAATGTCAACACAGATGACAACCCGGAAGACAAGAGTGACACCTACCTGTACTAAGTGTGATTGCTTGGCTCTCCAGCTCAAGAACGTCCCAATGCTCAGCTGAACCCATGCGGGTACCAAGAGACCTTCATGTTCTTCGTCTGAACTGACTCCGCTGCTACCAGAGTCATCCTCTGCTGTAAGGTATTCCTCATCTGAACCCGATATGTCAATATCAGGAACTGGCAAGTCACCTCTCAAAGCTAACATGTCCATGTGACTTTCAGACTGCTCTCCGGAAGCGGCCATGTGACCTTCAGATGACTCACCAGAAGTAGCAACGCGAAATTCAGATACCTCATTGGAAGTTCCATGTGACCTTCAGGCGGTCCACTAGAAGGGGCCACGTGACCTTCAGGCTGTCCATTGGAAGTGGCCATGTGACTTTCAGATGGCTCACTGGAAGTGGCCATGACCAGATGATGTCCACTGTCTTCATCTCTACTGGCCATCACAAGTTCGCCTCCTCACTTCACCGTGCTCTGTCTGTGAAAATAATGTGGAACCTAAACATGCTGTGACAATAAGTAAGCTGGTCTGACAACATTGTTCCAAGGTAAAAAAAAGGTACATTAAACCAAGACTTTTCTTTTTGTATTAAGGTATTTGTACCCTATTTTGATTGAAAGTGAAGTGAAATTGTGTTTAACGTCGTGCTTGAGAATATTTCGCTCATATGACAACGTGCATACGTGTGTATGTGTATGTGCGGCTGCTTGTACTAGCCCAGACTTAAGCTGGTTTTATAGTGCTAGTCCACTGAGATACCACGCCAGAGTGAAGCATGAATACCCAACTCAGATACATTATACTGACTCCGAGCCGACCAGGGATTGAACCCGCGACCTTTCGCTCTCTATTTTGATTGGATAAAACTGCATCCTTTCATGATAATATTATGCTATGCCTGACAAAGATGAATACCATGCTGATGTCTTAAATCTGCTCAAACTAAAACATTTGGTAAAAAAATGCAAGTACCAGTGAGGAACCGGGTTAGAACTAGTCTTCAGCAAACCATGCTTGACTAAGAGGCGACAACGGGATTAGGTGGTTAGTTTTGCTGACTCGGTTGACACATGTCATTGTATCCCAATTGCATTGATTGATGCTCATGATGTTGATAACTGGATTGTCTGGTCCAGATTTGATTATTTAGAGACCTCCACTAGCTGGAATATTGCTGAGTGCGGCATTCAACAAAACAAAAGCAAACAACAAACAAACAGATCAAGTGTTCAGCTTTCTGACATATCACAATTCATTAGTGGTTGTACCTTTTTTGAAACATGAAACATGCTTGCCTAAGTTCAGGTCCCTCAGTTTTGGAAGTGATTATGTTTACACAAGCAGAGGAAGTGTGAATGTGGTCAAAACACATCAATGTTAATCAAGGTGAAAGTATTAAATAGTAGAAAACCAAATCTTATGAGTGCATCTGTTAACTTCATTCCATTTCATTGTTTACAAATGTATTTCAAAATGGCTGCTCCAAGCTGGTTCAGTTTCAGCTTTTTTATCCATTGGGACATCATTGGGAAGCTTAGTTTCAGAAATGATAAAATGTTGTAAAACTGAACTATTGCCATTTTTTCATGCATTGTTTAATAATATTTTGAACAGTGGTAATTTCCCTATAGAATGGGCTAAAGGACTGGTTATACCGCTTCACAAGAAAGGCAAGAAGACAGAGGTTAATAATTATAGAGGGATAACGCTTAGTGATGTCATGGGGAAATTATTTACGTTTATATTAAACAAGAGGTTGACAAGTTTTTGTCATCAGTATGACAAGATTCCTGAGTCTCAGGCTGGGTTCCGTGCTGGATATAGCACTGTTGATAATATTTTCAGTTTACAGTGTCTGGTCCAAAAGTATATCTCGAAAACTAATGGTCGTTTTTATTGTTTATTCGTTGATTTCAGAAAGGCATTTGATTCCATTAATCGTAAATTATTGTGGTTCTCAGTTTTAAATAAAGGTATTCATGGTAGAATATTTACAGTATTATTGGACATGTACTCCAAAGTTAAATCTGCTGTTAAACTGTCAAATAGTTCCATTTCTCATTATTTTGATACTTTTAGTGGCGTAAAACAGGGGTGTATTTTAAATCCTTTGTTGTTCTCTCTTTTTGTTGTTGAGTTGGAAACTATGTTACAGGAATCGAATGTCCGAGGTACATTTGTTGGTCAAGAGTTTCGTGATATTTTATCTTTATTTTATGCTGATGATCTGTGTTTGTTTGATGATAGTGTGATTGGTCTAAAGAGAAAAATAGATGTATTGGAGCAGTTTAGTATCAAATGGGGTTTGGATGTCAATTTAGATAAGACTGAAATTTTAGTTTTTAGAAATGGTGGCAAGTTACGGTTTTCTGAAAAATGGATGTTTGGCAATAAAACTATTAAGACATCGACCTATTATAATTATCTTGGGTTAACGTTTTCTAACAGGTTATGTTGGTCAAAAGGTATTGAAGTTCTTGTTCAAAAAGCATCAAAAGCCCTAGTATCCGTTAAACAATTAGAGCGTAAGTTTCAGAATATTTCTTCTTTAGTTTTATTCAAGATATTTGATGCTCAGATTAAGCCAATCCTACTCTATTCTAGTGAAGTGTGGGGTCATTCAAAGTTTGAATGCATCGAGCGTTTTCATGTTAAGTTTTGTAAATATGTCATTGGTGTAGGTAGTTATGTCTCTAATGTTGCTGCACTTGGTGAATGTGGTAGATATGGCTTATTTGTCGATTGTCATAAAAGATGTATTCAGTATTGGTTAAAGTTGCTATCAATGCCTAATCATAGATATCCTAAGCAATGCTATCTTCTGTGTAAATCCTTAGACGACTGCAATCGTGTTACATGGGCTTCAAAGGTTAAAATATTACTGTTCTCTTATGGTTTTGGATTTGTTTGGATCTCTCAGGAAGTTGGTAATTGTTCTTTATTTCTAAGTAAGTTTGTGCAAAGGGTTAAAGATTGCCACCAACAAGATTGGTTTTCTAAAGTTTGTGAATCAAATAAGTTATGTTTCTACCAAGAATATAAATCTCTATTGACAGTTGAATATTATTTATCCACTCTAAAGAATCGCGAATATAGAAGGCTTTTATTTTTGCTAAGATCTGGGGAATTGCCTTTAATGATAAATGTTGGTAGACGTTGTGGTATTGTTCGCAATGAACGATTTTGTAATTTATGTATGAATGGATGTATAGAAGATGAATACCATTTTCTGTTAATATGTAAAGTTTATTCCATTTTAAGACAAAAGTATATTCCTGAAAATGTCTGGAAATATCCCTCTATTTATAAGTTTAACATGTTATTAAGTTGTGACAAAGTGAATATCCTAATTAACTTAGCAAAATTTGTAAAAGAAGCTTTAAGGTTAAGAAGTGCTTAAAATGTGTATCTAACCATTTTGTCACTTGCATTATTATTTTGTGAGTTTTTGTACTTGGGCCTATGGCCTTTATACGGAATAAAAGAATTTAGTTTCAGAATATTTAGAAGCATGGCCAAGACTACTTCACATCATACAAAAACATGTGTTTAAGAGAGCAAGACTCACTGAAACCCAGAACTGTGACTCCCAACTATGGCTGAGCTACAGTTGATAGTTGAACTTTAAACTGCACCTCTGTCATTGCCTAAATCTGATAAAACAAACCACCATCTATTAAATGATTGTAAAATTATTGGTTGAACAAATTTGTTGTGGGACTTTTTCTCAAGTTTCAAAGATGTAATTTGTGGTGATAATCATTACATTAACAATATCAACATGTAACTTTGCACTGCATCTCTCCTGTAGATATGGAGATCCCCAAATTTTGCAAACAATTCATTCAAATGTCATCAAGTTATTGGCTGAACAAAACTTCCCTTGGATTCAAAATATGTAAATTGAAGCAATTTTTTATTTAAAAGTTGAAAATCAGAACCAAGCTTTGCAGACACCTCTCTGTTACACAAATACTTTTCAACTTCTTAGTTGAAAAACTTTCGAAGTTCAAATTCTGATATTGCTGTACTGGCTAGCGAACAGTTATCACCATATTTTAGTGGTATTTACAAAATTACTCCGCCTTTCGTTAAATTAATGAAACAGAATTAATTATGATACTTAATTAGCTATTCACCGATGTGTCCAGCCCGTTCACTGCCGCGGATCATGTTTTTATATAATGCAGCAGAAGGGAATCATGTCGGTACAAATAGATGATTTCTCACAACTAACTGTAACAGTTATCGCCATTCAGAATTTCTCATGCCATTTGTGAAGTAATATATATATATTTATATCATACAGTAACCCCGAATAATTGATTGTGTGACTATTTGAGTGTTTCTTTTACAGTAGATTGACAGGGAATGAAACAATTAATGACTTGTGAACTTGAACTTGCTATTATACATAGGTCGTGGGACATCAAATGTGATCACCAACTTTGAAATCAATCCAACCATTAGTTTTCAAGTTATTGGTTGAACCCATCTGTCTTCTTACGTAATTCTCTAATGGGTATAACTATATACCCTCGACTTCTAAAGGTCGGTGTATAACAAATGTGGCTGAAAAATCATAATGATAATGGCCATAAATAAGACTTTTGAGTTTGTCTGTCTTGCCACATGACCAATTAGACTGGGCTGTCATGAAGCTTTAACTCCATTTGTGTATTTCCAGTGAAGACATTGGTGAAGCACAAATGACCTTCTGACAAGGACGAACAGGGCTTAACTTGCAGCCATGTTGAAACTGGGTGAACATTAAAGTGAGCGTTTAACAAGAGACATTGTATAATCAGTATCGCTCATTCAAAGTTTCGGCTTTCTAGTCATAGGTAGATAAAATAGGTCGATAATATGACTACAGGGTCAGCACAAATGACCTTCTGACAAGGACGAACAGAGCTTAACTTGCAGCCATGTTGAAACTGGGTGAACATTAAAGTGAGCGTTTAACAAGAGACACTGTATAATCAGTATCGTTCATTCAAAGTTTCGGCTTTCTAGTCATAGGTAGATAAAATAGGGTCAGCACAAATGACCTTCTGACAAGGACGAACAGAGCTTAAATTGCACAAGGACGAACAGGCTTAAATTGCCATTTTGAAATTGTTTGAACATATACAGCGTTTACTTGAGTCTATTATCGATGAGACACCGTAATCTGTATTCAAAGTTTCAGCTTTATACTCTTTGTGGTTTAAAATAGGTCGATATAATATGACGACAGGTGTACAATCGGACGGACACAAAATTGAGTCCAGTGGGACTGTCTGACCTCGACATTACTCACTAGCTGAACATTAATTCGTGCCATTAATTCACCTGGGACGTTTGTTTGTAGATGCACAATCTTCGGCACACAGATTTGAAAAACACTGTAGTCACATTACAAGCTAATTACATACACACCTCTGAACCTACTCACGACGCAAGAAGTCACGGCATACGTAGCACCCCTTCAAAGTGTTGCGAGATGGTGGACGGCGACTTGAACCGAGCGGGTAGCGAGCGGGTAGCACCCGAGTAACACGTACCCCTGCTTTCAGTACTTCCGTTACACAGGCCCCCACTGCGGGTCAGAAAATCGATAAATTAGGCCCCGGTTTAGTATCAACACCCCCTACTATATAATACATATATAGTAGGCGGTGTTGATACTAAACCGAAGTTTATCGATTTTCTTACCCGCAGTGGGGGCCTGTGTTCAGGCTGTGTACAATCGTGACATGAAGGAGGACTTACATGCATAGTCCAGGTCCAAACCAACTTTCGAGATGTCAGTTTTCTTTTCCACACTAAAATATTTGTTGTTAAACACCACACCCAGCAATTTTTATATTCCAGTTATATGGCGGCGGTTAGACTAACGCTTAGTCTCTGAATATATATAATTTTGATTGTAACAAATCAACTCAGAAAGGGAACCCAAGGGAGACCAGAGATCCCGAACCTGAGGAAATCTAGACTTGTTTCATTTAAGGTTTTATATAACATTGCAGATAGGGCTATGCAGTAGGGAAAATAAGGAGGTTCAGAGACTATGAGACAAACTATAAGCGGCGGTATGTCAGGCTGATTGTTAAAGACCTTTCAGTGGGAAAAGGAATACCGCTTTTAAACCAATCAGAACAAAGCATTCTTCAATACCATGATATAACCCAGATTGGAATTGGTGACCAGTAAGCATGCCGACCGTTGGAGGTGACTTGGGTCCTGGGGTCACGTTGGTAGGCTGTTGTTTAATGCCGCACTCAGCAGTATTCCAGCTATGGGGCGGTCTGTAAATAATCCAGTCTGGATCACACAATCCAGTGATTAACAGCATGAGCATCGATCTACGCAATGTGGATATGATGACGTGTCAACCTAATCAGAAAGCCTGACCACCTGATCCCGGTAGTCGCCTCGGATCTTCACGGGTGGTGAGGACGTTTGCTTTTACGCTGGTTTTAGCTATATTCCAGCAATATCACGACACCAGGCCCCGATTTCTGGAAACAAACTTAAGTCTGAGTTTTGACTTAAGTCAGAGTTTTTACTCAAATTTGAGAAAACGCAGGAAATGTATTTCCAGAATAAAATGAAATCAATATTAAACTCAAACTTAGTAGACACTTTGAGTTTGGTGGATAGATTACTTAAGTTGTTTGAGCTTTTTTATTTAAAAAATGTAGTTGAGTTAAAAATTCAGCTGTTTCAAATTGTCAAACTCAGTTTGAAATCTGAGAAAAACTTTCGAGAAAAGTTTGTTTCGAGAAATGGTGGCCAGATATGGGCTTCACGCATTGTACCCATATGGAACATCGAACTCGAGTCTTCGGCGTGATGAGCGAACGCTTTAACCACTAGGTTACCCCACCGCCCCTTCGCGGGTAGTGTGGTCACCGTTAGACTGCCTGACATGGCTGATTGCATGTTATCGTATGGAGATTGCGTAAGTGGATCTGTGCTTCATAATATCAATCACTGAAGTGTCGGGTCCAGACTGGGTTATTTACGCCGCCTACAGCCGAACCTGGGTGGCTGTTGCTTAGTGCCGCATAGCTCCATCGTGTCAGCATTGAGCTAAAATAACTATAGTTCTAATTTCATTTGGGTTATATTTTAAATTTTCACTATATTTGTTTCTTAATACCATAATCATATATGTTTTGCTAGTCTTCATTTGATAATGTAAAAAGGAATGCTTGCTACATCCAGGGATAGTCTCTCAGTTACATCCGACTGGGCGATAAGAAGTGCTGTAAGGCAGGGGATTCTTGCTGGATTGAATATGGTATTATGTTTAGCCATCGGAACATAACATTCCTTGGAGTGAGTATATTAAATTATAATAAAAGAGAAGGAAACCCCTTGTAATAATTTGAGAATTCAATATGATATTTTCCAGTTTTTTCGCTTCCGGAAAATTCCTGGCAGTTTTAATGGACTTCTGCTTGCCAAGCAAGGTTGTTTATGAGAGCACTAACAACTAGATTTCATCAACTAAATCAACTTGAAATGCTGCTTACAGTAATGGAATATAAACAAGACAATACATGGTGGAAGAATGTAGAACTATGATCCTAAAGGTCATGTAACGGGGAAAGACCCCCGGTCAAATCTCCATTTTATCTGGAGCCAGTAAGTGGAAAACCTTGTGTTTAAAATGTGCTTCATTCAATGTCAGTTTGACCCAGCAGGGGGGTACGTATCTTGGCCGCTGTAGGCTTGAATCATTTGAGAATTGATTGCAATATCTTTGCGTTAATGGAGATATGGGCTGTTGGTTTGTTGTTTAAAGGCAAACAGCAACAGGGTTATAGGATGTGATAGTAAACAAATGATAAAAAAGCAATCTTCCACCTATATGGGGGCCTCGGTAAATAATCCAGTCTGGATCACACAATCCAGTGATTAACAGAATGAACATCGATCTACGCAACTGCGATTCGATGACATGAGTCTACGAAGTCAGAGAGCCTGACCACCCGATCCCGTTAGTCGCCTCGCATCTTCACGGGTGGTGAGGGCGTTTGCTTTTACACACAGCTTTTAGCAATATCACGACGGGGAACACAAGAAATGGGCTTCACGCATTGTACCTATATGGGACATCGAACTCGAGTCTTCGGCGTGATGATCGAACGCTTTAACCACTGGGCCACCCCACCACCTCTTCGCGGGTAGTGTGGTCAGGTAGTCTGACTTGGTTGTTTGCCTGTCATCGCATGGTGTTTGCGCAAGTGGATCTGTGCTTCATAATATCAATCACTGAAGTGTCTGGTCTAGACTGGGTTATTTATGCCGCCTACAGTTGAACCAATGCAATGACAACTAAGTACATTTTTAAAACAAATCGGTTTTATTACACGAAGTTACCTTACTCAGGCAGTTAGTCCGCTGGATTGTTTCATAGAAATGGATGTTTGATTTGTTGGCTTTTGTTGTTTTCATTGCATTGCATTTTGATTTTGAGTTCTCTTACACCATGTCAAACTCATCACATTAAGTAGTTCTCCTGTCAAAAAAGGAATCAACCTGTTCTGTTTCATGTACGAAACAGCTCTTTATTTCTTACCCATCTATAGACTAAACCTAGTCTGGTGGTTTATTTTCTTGCGTAATTTATATAAATGACCAGTCTAAAAACTATTATCCGGTTTGGACCAGTTTGCAGGTTTCAGGCGGCATGGCCGAATATTCAGGAATCCTTAGACTAACAACTAGTCTCTGAAATGAACATAGTTTACTGAAAAAAGTTCATAGTCAAAAAAATAAAATATAATGAGAAGGAGCCCTGAGACTTTCTTCATTTTATGTACCACCAGAAGCTGAGGCTGCAAATCTATGTATGTATGTATATAAGGTTTTAGGGCGACCTTGGGCCTTAAAAGGCCTATATGCGCCCAACACTTAACAAACTGTTATATTTTTGTTCAGTTAAATAACATCGTACTTACCCGTTTTAACGAGGAAGTCTAAAAGAGCTCTTTGTATGCAACCATACATTAAATTATCGCCAAGTATTGCGTTCATTGAAAACGTATTTTGGGCTTTGTTAAGCACAGTTTCTTTAAGAGCCTTACGTGGGTTTTCATGAGCTGGACATTCAATGAGGTAGTGCTGAACTGTTTCTGGGCACTGTAAGTTACAGCTTTCACACAGAGGAGATAAGTCTTTATCTAAAATACTTCTATATGCCTTTAATCCACAATGTCCCAGCCTGAGACGAGTTAAAACAACTTCATCTCTGCGACAACGCCGACGAATTTTAAAATGTTTGTTTACTACAGGACAAGTAGAGTGCATGTGTCTACCTGTAGTTTCATTATCCCATTTATTTTGCCAAGATGCATTTATTGAAGATGAAATGACAAACCAGTAATCTCTTGGAATGGGCTTAATTGAATGAATATCTGGCTGTGGTCTGTTGCAAGCCATCTTAGCAATTGTGTCAACTACTTCGTTTCCAGCTACACCAACATGTGCAGGAATCCAAACAATATCACAGCTGATGTACATGGAGTTTAAAACAGTATCAAGATACAAGATGTCGTATAGTATGTCACTGCGTGAACCTTGTACACCTGATTGAATTGCTTGTACAGCTGACAACGAATCAGTAAAAATTATTGCTTCGTGTTCATTATCTTTTACCCATTTTAAAGCTTGAAGTATGGATGTCAGTTCTGCTGCAAATACAGACAGATGATCAGTCAATCTAAATCTTTTGGATAAACCAAGATCGGGAATATAGAAAGCCCCACCAACATGACCGGTTCTGGGATCCTTTGAAGCATCAGTGTAAATATGAGTAAAATTGCTATATTTGGTGTGAATGTAATCTTGGGTGAGGATTTTAATAACACTTGGTGACATTTGTTTGTTTACAAGCTCCGATAAATCCTGTGAAATCGAAGGTTGTGTTAAAGTCCATGGAACCGTTTTCGGGAGAGATCGAGCAGCATTCAACTGAAGATTGTTTAACTTGTACTGTAATGCAAATTGTTGTACAAGTAATCCAAACGGTGGTTTTCCATGATTCCAATCACACATGACATATTCCACGCAATCACACAATATATCAGTTGCTGGTTGATACCTAGAGGAAGCTTTTAAGGATAAATAGTACTTAAGGGCAACTTTAAGACGATGATATTGCAAAGGAGGTTCTGAGCATTCCACCTGCAGGGCAGAAACTGGAGTAGTAGGAAAAGCACCAGTGCATATCCGAAGAGCTTTGGCTTGAACACGATCAAGTTTAGCCAAATGACATTTTGCAGCATTCATAAAAACTTGACAGCCATATTCTAATCTAGACAAAATTAGTGCTTTGTACAACAGAAGCAAGGATGATTTATCAGCACCCCACTTTGTGGCAGACACGCTTTTCAGTAAATTGAGAGCTTTAGTACATTTTGATGAAATGTAGTTGATGTGGTTTGACCAAGTGAGTTTTTGATCAAAGATTACACCCAAAAATTTAAATTCAGAAACAAATTTTATGTCCTGACCACCAATGTGTAGCTTC